ATTAATATTATTAATATTATTAATATTATTAATATTATTAATATTATTAATATTATTAATATTATTAATATTATTAATATTATTAATATTATTAATATTATTAATATTATTAATATTATTAATATTATTAATATTATTAATATTATTAATATTATTAATATTATTAATATTATTAATATTATTAATATTATTAATATTATTAATATTATTAATATTATTAATATTATTAATATTATTAATATTATTAATATTATTAATATTATTAATATTATTAATATTATTAATATTATTAATATTATTAATATTATTAATATTATTAATATTATTAATATTATTAATATTATTAATATTATTAATATTATTAATATTATAATATTATTAATAATATTATTATTAATAGTAAACGCATAATGAAACAAATGACAGTGAAAATAGACCAATATGTATACTAGACGTCTTCGGAAAATTATTGTTAGGTTCTAGGAAGGGAAAATCCACCGTTGAAGCAGTAGAAACAATAATCGGAAACACTAGGCACTAGTGTGCAGAGGCAGAGACGTGAAGAATGCGATTAACACAGCAAAATGATCACTAGTAATCAGAAAATTGCAAACACCAGAGTATTAATAGTATTACTATTCGTTAATAATATTAATAATATTAATAATATTAATAATATTAATAATATTAATAATATTAATAATATTAATAATATTAATAATATTAATAATATTATATTAATAATATTAATAATATTAATAATATTAATAATATTAATAATATTAATAATATTATTAATATTAATAATATTAATAATATTAATAATATTAATAATATTAATAATATTAATAATATTAATAATATTAATAATATTAATAATATTAATAATATTAATAATATTAATAATATTAATAATATTAATAATATTAATAATATTAATAATATTAATAATATTAATAATATTAATAATATTAATAATATTAATAATATTAATAATATTAATAATATTAATAAAATTAGTAATATTAATATAAGATAAATTATCCGGATTAAAGAGACGTGTTTTTATGACAGGAGGGGGAAATAAAAAATCGTAAAATTTTCGCGTTTTCTACAAAAATTTATAAAAAAAATTAAGGTAAATGTGTCTTTAAAATTTCTCTATCGAACGGTAAGGAAAATTTGAAACGAATAATAATATTTATAATAATATTAATATCATTAATATTATTATTAATATTAATAATATTAATAATATTAATAATATTAATATTATTAATAATATTAATAATATTAATAATATTAATAATATTAATAATATTAATAATATTAATAATATTAATAATATTAATAATATTAATAATATTAATAATATTAATAATATTAATAATATTAATAATATTAATAATATTAATAATATTAATATTAATAATATTAATAATATTAATAATATTAATAATATTAATAATATTAATAATATTAATAATATTAATAATATTAATAATATTAATAATATTAATAATATTAATAAAATGAATTATCCAGATCGACGAGATGTGTCGATTGATATATCACATGTTTTTATGACAAGAGGAGAAGGAAATAAAAAACCGTAAAATTTTCACGTTTTTTCCAAAGATTTATACAAAATTCAAGGTATATGTGTATTTAAAATTTCCCCATTGAATGTAAGGAAAATTTGAAACTTTATTTTTTCGACAACGAATATTAATAATATTAATAATATTAATAATATTAATAATATTAATAATATTAATAATATTAATAATATTAATAATATTAATAATATTAATAATATTAATAATATTAATAATATTAATAATATTAATAATATTAATAATATTAATAATATTATTAATATTAATAATATTAATAATATTAATAATATTAATAATATTAATAATATTAATAATATTAATAAAATGAATTATCCAGATCGACGAGATGTGTCGATTGATATATCACATGTTTTTATGACAAGAGGAGAAGGAAATAAAAAACCGTAAAATTTTCACGTTTTTTCCAAAGATTTATACAAAATTCAAGGTATATGTGTATTTAAAATTTCCCCATTGAATGTAAGGAAAATTTGAAACTTTATTTTTTCGACAACGAATATTAATAATATTAATAATATTAATAATATTAATAATAATAATATTAATAATATTAATAATATTAATAATATTAATAATATTAATAATATTAATAATATTAATAATATTAATAATATTAATAATATTAATAATATTAATAATATTAATAATATTAATAATATTAATAATATTAATAATATTAATAATATTAATAATATTAATAATATTAATAATATTAATAATATTAATAAAATGAATTATCCAGATCGACGAGATGTGTCGATTGATATATCACATGTTTTTATGACAAGAGGAGAAGGAAATAAAAAACCGTAAAATTTTCACGTTTTTTCCAAAGATTTATACAAAATTCAAGGTATATGTGTATTTAAAATTTCCCCATTGAATGTAAGGAAAATTTGAAACTTTATTTTTTCGACAACGAATATTAATAATATTAATAATAATAATAATATTAATAATATTAATAATATTAATAATATTAATAATATTAATAATATTAATAATATTAATAATATTAATAATATTAATAATATTAATAATATTAATAATATTAATAATATTAATAATATTAATAATATTAATAATATTAATAATATTAATAATATTAATAATATTAATAATATTAATAATATTAATAATATTAATAATATTAATAATATTAATAATATTAATAATATTAATAATATTAATAATATTAATAATATTAATAATATTAATAATATTAATAATATTAATAATATTAATAATATTAATAATATTAATAAAATGAATTATCCAGATCGACGAGATGTGTCGATTGATATATCACATGTTTTTATGACAAGAGGAGAAGGAAATAAAAAACCGTAAAATTTTCACGTTTTTTCCAAAGATTTATACAAAATTCAAGGTATATGTGTATTTAAAATTTCCCCATTGAATGTAAGGAAAATTTGAAACTTTATTTTTTCGACAACGAATATTAATAATATTAATAATATTAATAATATTAATAATATTAATAATATTAATAATATTAATAATATTAATAATATTAATAATATTAATAATATTAATAATATTAATAATATTAATAATATTAATAATATTAATAATATTAATAATATTAATAATATTAATAATATTAATAATATTAATAATATTAATAATATTAATAATATTAATAATATTAATAATATTAATAATATTAATAATATTAATAATATTAATAATATTAATAATATTAATAATATTAATAATATTAATAATATTAATAATATTAATAATATTAATAATATTAATAATATTAATAATATTAATAATATTAATAATATTAATAATAATAATAATATTAATAATATTAATAATATTAATAATATTAATAATATTAATAATATTAATAATATTAATAATATTAATAATATTAATAATATTAATAATATTAATAATATTAATAATATTAATAATATTAATAATATTAATAATATTAATAATATTAATAATATTAATAATATTAATAATATTAATAATATTAATAATATTAATAATATTAATAATATTAATAATATTAATAATATTAATAATATTAATAATATTAATAATATTAATAATATTAATAATATTAATAATATTAATAATATTAATAATATTAATAATATTAATAATATTAATAATATTAATAATATTAATAATATTAATAATATTAATAATATTAATAATAATAATATTAATAAAACTTCATGTGTCAGGGTTTTTATGATAGAGGGAGGAGAAAATCAAAAAACCGTAAAATTTTCGCGTTTTCTACAAAAATTTATAAAAAAATCAAGGTAAAGGTGTCTTTAAATTTTCTCTATCAAATGGTAAGAAAAATTTGAAAGTTTATTTTTTCGATAACGGATATTAATAATATTATTAATATTATTATAATATTATTAATATTATTAATATTATTAATATTATTAATATTATTAATATTATTAATATTATTAATATTATTAATATTATTAATATTATTAATATTATTAATATTATTAATATTATTAATATTATTAATATTATTAATATTATTAATATTATTAATATTATTAATATTATTAGTATTATTAGTATTATTAATATTATTAATATTAATATTAATAATATTATTAATATTATTAATATTATTAATATTATTAATATGTCAGGGTTTTATGACAGAGGGAGGAGAAAATAAAAAAAAAAACGTAAAATGTTCGCGTTTTTTATAAAAATTTATAAAAGAATCAATGCAAATGTGTTTTTAAAATAAAATAGTAAGAAAAACTATTTTTTCTACAACGAATAATCGAAAATTTTTAATAGAGTAAATAAAGTGTAAGTTTCCGGAAACTTACTCTCGTTTGGAGAAAATAATTTTTTTTAATTCTACGAATTTCCCGACTTTTCCGACAAATTTTCCGAAAAAAATTAAAAATCCCAGTACACTACTCGACGTTCCTTACAATCTAACATCAAAATTTTCCCGATACTTCAAACACATTTCCCAGGAAAATTAGAGGAAAATTTTAGTTCAATCGCTTTTCCGAGAGAAAAATTTACCCTATAAATAAAAACTCATACTAGTACGACCAAAAAATACTACTAAAGTAATAAAAGTACCTCAATTAATTCAAAAATTATTTTACCTCAAAATGATCTTCACAACAAAATTAATTATTTTAATAAATTAATTGCGAAGCAACTATAAATGCTAGAAAAACCAACTAAATTGCTAAATTTAAGTTAGAAACTGAATTTTTATAAAAAAAATATTCTAAATGACATTTCCAAGCTATTTTACTATAAAACTGCAAGAAATTCAAAAATACATTTTTTTGGCATTTTAATAAGAATCTACTTTTCGAGTTTTTAATCTTAGAAAAAAGTTTCAAAAGTTTCAACATCTCAAAATTTAAACACCCTATAGAACGAGTAAAATTGACAAATTGGTTAAGATTTTAACTTACCACACACTAATAAACACTTTGGGATCCTCTGAAGAAGATTAAAAATACTTTCAAGTCAGTTTTGAATCTTCTTCAAAAGTGATAAAACTATCATTTAATCATCATCGTCTTCTCCAGGTTTCTTTATAACCCCCCACCGTTCGGCTTCTTGCAACGTAAGTCCAGCGATTTCGACGATCTTTTCTCTACCATCGTACGGAGGCAACTTCGATAGGGCCATCATTATTTCTAAAATATCGGTGTCTATTAACTTTTCCGCGCATTCTTTGGACGCGGATACGATGTTGTGCATCACGCAAACTCCCCTGTATTGCATCTGTAAGTCTGGATTGAGCAACATGCTGTGTAAACAGTCCAGCCAGTTCTTAGAGTCGAACATTTTTAAACAGCATTTGTTGCTGGCACCGGTGATGATGCATAGCATGCCAGCTGCGGCCATCGCGGTGTCTTTGTCTTCGTCTAAGCACATTGATACCGCGAATTTTACCTAAAAATATGTTATTATTAAAGTTTGCTAACTGTAAATTTTCTCCTAACTTTTTTTTTGTTTCGAATATAGTACATTTCAAAAAATGTCCACACTAACAAACTATTTAGCAAAACATGGAAATTTTCTCCTAACTTTTAAGCTATTGCATAGCTTTTATCGCGGGCTTTGAGCGCGACGGCCGAATCAAGAAAAAAAAAAAAAAACGAAACCGTAACGAAAAAACCTAACACCCCCCTCTCCGACCGGCACAGCGTTGCGGCGTTAAACAATATTATTCAATTTATTCAATAAAAGAAAATCGAAAAATGGAAAAATGAAAAAATCGAAAAAATCAAAAAATCGAAAAAACAAAAAGAAAAAATTAAAAAATCGAAAAAATTAAAAATCGAAAAAATTAAAAAACCAAAAAATAGAAAAAATCGAAAAATATAAAAAATCGGAAAAATCGAAAAAATTAAAAAAATTGAAAAAATTAAAAAAAATCGAAAAAATTAAAAAAACGAAAAAATTAAAAAATCGAAAAAATTAAAAAATCGAAAAAATTAAAAAATCGAAAAAATTAAAAAAATCGAAAAAACAAAAAATCGAAAAAATTAAAAAATCGAAAAAATTAAAAAAATAAATAAAATTGAAAAAATCGAAAAAATCGAAAAAAATAAAAAAATTAAAGAATCGAAAAAATAAAAAATTAAAAATCGAATAAATTAAAAAATCGAATAAATTAAAAAATCGAAAAAATTAAAAAATCGAAAAAATTAAATCAAAAAAACAAAAAATCGAAAAAAATAAAAAAATCGAAAAAATAAAAAATCGAAAAAATCTAAAAAAATAAAAAAATTTAAAAATCGAAAAAATTAAAAAATCCAAAAAATCAAAAAATTGAAAAAATTAAAAATTGAAAAAATTAAAAAACGAAAAAATTAAAAAATCAAAAAAATTAAAAAAATTGAAAAAAATAAAAAAATCGAAAAAACAAAAAAATCGAAAAAATAAAAAAAAATTAAAAAAATCGAAAAAAATTTGGTGTTTTTCTCAAAATCGAAAAAAATAAAAAAATTAAAAAATCGAAAAAATCTAAAAAATTAAAAAAATCGAAAAAAATCAAAAAAATAGAAAAAAAAAATTTAAAAAATTAAAAAATCGAAAAAAATTAAAAATCCAAAAAATTAAAAAATCGAAAATTTTAAAAAAATCGAAAAAATTAAAAAATTGAAAAAATTTAAAAAAATTGAAAAAATTAAAACAAAAAAATTGAAAAATGGAAAAAATTGAAACAATCGAAAAACCGAAAAAATCGAAAAAACAAAAAATCGAAAAAATCAAAAAATCGAAAAAATAAAAAAAATCTAAAATTAAAAAAATCTAAAAAAATTAAAAAAATCTAAAAAAAAAAAAATTTGGTATTTTTCTCAAATATCTCGAATACGGTCCATTTTAGGAAAATTTTGTATATTACAAAAATTATAGAGAATGACATTACAAGCAACTTTTATTTGAAGAATTTTTTTCTTCAAGCGGAAATAACAGATATATTCTATAAAATAGAAAAACGTACCCCCCAGATGTTACGACTATGCCCAAAATGGATTATTTAGTTATTTCGACTCATAATAACACGTTATGTGAAAAGTCTTTATTTTTTATTAATTAAAGAAATAAATAGAGTTAAATACTTCAAAACTAAAATAACAAAATTATTTTCTTACTTCCTCGATTTTTAACTAAATTAATACAATTTAATATAGATAATATTTCGTTTTGAACTTTTATTATTTTTATTTTCTATTTCTACCTCATAAATTCGCACACCAACCAATTTTTTTTTTAATTTTCCCTTTGCCTTACCTTCTACATCACCATTTATTAATTTACTCACCCTATCATTATCCCCTTCAAACATCTTAATAACCGCATCGCTTTGCGTCATATTGCACATACACTGCACCGCAGCTCTGGATATATGCACGTGGTCTTCGAACATGTAGTGTTCAATTTTCGAAAACCCTCCTTCAGAAATTATTCTCGCTCTCGCCGATTCACTCATTTGCGCGATATTGCACAACGCCATCAAAGCCTCGAAATTTTCCAAACCGGAACAGTCTGGATGAAGGGAATTGACCAAAGGGCGGATGACTTCTAGGACGCGTTGACCGGGATAGGCGATTTCGGGGTTTATTGTTATGCCTATCCTAAAAGAGAAGGAGGAATCGTATTTATTACTCCATCTTTACATTCCCTGTGTACTTTTCTATGGTTTTAATACGTTGCTATCCATAAATAGTGAGAAATATATTGTATTTTCAATTTGGAAGTAAACTGAGTGGGCAAGGACCCCATGCCATTTCATTTCAACGTTATTTGACACTATTAAACATCATAGAAAAACCACTAGAAGAATAATTTGCTCTACTATCTTCTCAGACGTAGCACCAAGTGTGGGAATATAAATGTCATTGCCCAGATTAAATATGGAGGATTTAGAATAAATCAGAAAGAAGTTTATTCGGAAATGAAATAAATCGAAACAGGAGTACCACAAGGAAGCGTATTGGGGCATATCTTGTATCTACTGTAGTTAAAAGAAATTATATAGCAAAATATTTGGGTATTGCTTTAGAGAAATAGTCACTGATATTTGGTCTAGCTTCATCAATATAGAGTGGTGAAAATCAATAAAAAATCACTAGAAATCCCCCTAAATTAAAAATTCATTAAGTTAGTAACACTAGGTATATATCATCTATTACACGGATTGAACTTTTGAATGTCACCCGTAAATATGCTGTCACTTGTCACATTATCTTTTATGATGCCCGTCACGTCATCTGTCATGCAATCTGACACGTTATCTCCCCTGTGACTTGTCATATTATCTATCACTGTTGAACTATTCGAAAATCCCACGTATAAGTGTCATCTGTCATGTATTCTGTCACGTTATTTACCATGTGATTTGTTATATCATCTATCAGTGTTGAACTTTTCCAAAATCCCACGTACAAGTGTCATCTGTCATGTATTCTGTCACGTTATCTGCAATGTGACTTGTCATATCATCTATTACTGAAGTCCCACTTATAAGTGTCATCTGTCATGTATTCTGTCACGTTATCTGACCTGTAGCTTGTCATATCGTCTATCATTGTTGAACTTTTCGAAAGTGCCCCCCCCCCCCCCGTATAAGTAGGATGTGTAAGTGTCGGTTGCAGTTAGACGAGTTTTAAATTATTTGACTTAGTTTCGAATTACACCACTGATAGGTGGCGCCATCTACATTTATGTAAGAATATTGTGTGTTAACAAATGTACGATAGAAGTTAAACTTGGACGCATTTATTTTTCATTTGTTCTTTATATATTTTTATTTATTAATTATTTTTATGATTTTTATTTGTTTTTTTTTGTTTATATATTTGTTTTTATTTGTTATTTGTTTATATTTGCTTTTATGTGCCTTTATTTACTTTTATTTGTGTTATTATTTGCTTACATTGTTTATATTTGTTTATTATGTTTATTATGTTTATTATGTTTATTATGTTTATTATGTTTATTATGTTTATTATGTTTATTATGTTTATTATGTTTATTATGTTTATTATGTTTATTATGTTTATTATGTTTATTATGTTTATTATGTTTATTATGTTTATTATGTTTATTATGTTTATTATGTTTATTATGTTTATTATGTTTATTATGTTTATTATGTTTATTATGTTTATTATGTTTATTATGTTTATTATGTTTATTATGTTTATTATGTTTATTATGTTTATTATGTTTATTATGTTTATTATGTTTATTATGTTTATTATGTTTATTATGTTTATTATGTTATTGTTATTATGTTTATTATGTTATTATGTTTATTATGTTTATTATGTTTATTATGTTTATTATGTTTATTATGTTTATTATGTTTATTATGTTTATTATGTTTATTATGTTTATTATGTTTATTATGTTTATTATGTTTATTATGTTTATTATGTTTATTATGTTTTATTATGTTTATTATGTTTATTATGTTTATTATGTTTATTATGTTTATTATGTTTATTATGTTTTATTATGTTTATTATGTTTATTATGTTTATTATGTTTATTATGTTTATTATTTTATTATGTTTATTATGTTTATTATGTTTATTATGTTTATTATGTTTATTATGTTTATTATGTTTATTATGTTTATTATGTTTATTATGTTTATTATGTTTATTATGTTTATTATGTTTATTATGTTATTATGTTTATTATGTTTATTATGTTTATTATGTTTATTATGTTTATTATGTTTATTATGTTTATTATGTTTATTATGTTTATTATGTTTATTATGGTTATTATGTTTATTATGTTTATTATGTTTATTATGTTTATTATGTTTTATTATGTTTATATGTTTATTATGTTTATTATGTTTATTATGTTTATTATGTTTATTATGTTTATTATGTTTATTATGTTTATTATGTTTATTATGTTTATTATGTTTATTATGTTTATTATGTTTATTATGTTTATTATGTTTATTATGTTTATTATGTTTATTATGTTTATTATGTTTATTATGTTTATTATGTTATTATGTTTATTTATGTTTATTATGTTTATTATGGTTATTATCGTTATTTTGTTATTATGTTTATTATGTTTATTATGTTTATTATGTTTTATTATGTTTATATGTTATTATGTTTATTATGTTTATTATGTTTATTATGTTTATTATGTTTATTATGTTTATTATGTTTATTATGTTTATTATGTTTATTATGTTTATTATGTTTATTATGTTTATTATGTTTATTGTTTATTATGTTTATTATGTTTATTATGTTTATTATGTTTATATTGTTTTTATTTGATTTCATTGGATTTTATGTGATTTTTATTTGCTTTTATTTATGTTTACTTGTTATTATCTGTTTATATTGTTTTTATTTTTATTCGATTTCATTCGATTTTATTCAATTTTATTCAATTTTATTCAATTTTATTCAATTTTATTCAATTTTATTCAATTTTATTCCCTTTTATTTGCCTTTATTTGCTTTTATTTGTGTTATTTGTTTATATTGTTTATTTGTTTATTATTTATATTGTTTATATTTTATTTGCTTTTATTTATGTTTACTTGTCATTATTTGTTTATATTTGTTTTTATTTGATTTCATTGGATTTTATGTGATTTTATTTGCTTTTACTTATGTTTACTTGTTATTATTTGTTCAAATATTTATTTTTATTTGATTTAATTGGATTTTATGTGATTTTGTGAACTTTTCTTTGCTTCTATTTGATTTATTTGATTTTATTTGCTATTATCTGTGTTTACTTGCTTTTATTTATGTTTACTTGTTATTATTTGTTTATATAATTGTTTATATTGTTCATATTATGTTGTTTATATATTTATTCAATTTTATTCCCTTTTATTTGCCTTTATTTGGTTTTATTTGTGTTTACTTATTATTTGTTTATATTGTTTATTGTTTATACTGTTTATATTTGATTTCATTGGATTTTGTGATTTTATTTGCTTTTATTTATGTTTACTCGTTATTATTTGTTCATATATTTGTTTATATTTATTTTTATTAGATTTCATTGGGAGAGTATTATTATTATTATATATTTGTTTATATTTATTTTTATTTGATTTCATTGGATTTTATGAGCTTTTATTTACTTCTATTTGCTTTTATTTATGTTTACTTGTTATTATTTGTTTACATATTTGTTTTTATTTGATTTCATAGATATAGATAGATATAGATAGATATAGATAGATATAGATAGATATAGATAGATATAGATAGATATAGATAGATATAGATAGATATAGATAGATATAGATAGATATAGATAGATATAGATAGATATAGATAGATATAGATAGATATAGATAGATAGATAGAGATAGATAGATATGATAGATAGATATATTGATAGATATAGATGGTTAGATGGATGGATGGATGGATGGATGGATGGATGGATGGATGGATGGATGGATGGATGGATGGATCGATAGATAGATTAGATAGATATATAGATAAATAATGTAACGCTAATTGGAGCTAGTATTGCTTTTTCTAAGCAGTGAAAAACCAATCAATTTTACTACTTACCTAGCCAAAGCTTGAGCCGCTTGCCTCTTCCCCTTCTCGGTACCATTAAGAGCCAACGGCAGCAACACTTTGCTACCCCCTTGAGCCACCACTATTCCCCTGATGTCCGGCTGACTACAGAGCGCATTAAAAACTCTCGCGATCAGCTCCTTCGAATTGTTGCTCTCCGTTTTCGATAGCGCCACTAAAGCCGTGGTCACATTAGCGTGAGCGAGAGCTTGAATACGTTTGTCAACGAAATCGGGATCGTCGAGATCGTGTTCTTCCGGTATGTGTTGCTTGGCGAATTTCGCGAGTTCGATCATTTCCGGGATCACTTCCTAAAAAAACGCAGGTAATTTATATAACGGAAAAACTGTTTTATGAGAACCCGTTTGACTTATATCGAAGTACAGACTCGTCTGGCGTTTTGTGCGGTTTAAAGAACGAAATACATGTCTACGTGACCGAAACTATTCGGTTATTATTACGTACACGTTTGTTTATAGATACGCGAGTACAGGACCGTCTTTAAAATGTTTCAAAGGTTTTAAAACAATTGTTCTTCAAGGTTTAGATATAGCCCAAGCTTGTATCAGCTGTTTTTCACCATCTAGTGACCAATGGTTCTCCTTTTATAGAAGTATTCAAAATCGAAGTAAAATGGCTGCGTAGACCGGCTAAAACCGGCCTTTGATGTAGATCATAGTGAAAATGCACTTACACCGACTCCAACTGCTAAAGTTGTTCTATGTAGGCTTTGTTACTGTTTCCCAGCGCCACTTTAAGAACGGCATTGTTAATTAGAACGCAATAGTGAATTCCGAATGTAAAAACACTATAATATGTATGACAGCAAAATTTCCAGGTCAGGCTTTTAGGGAGAGGGTGAAAAGGGGAAAATGAAGAAAATTTAATTCTCGAACTGAGTTTTTGTGGTTTGAAAAGCAAGGTTTGGTTAACGCTATGCATACTGTGGTTATGATAATGAATTTCCATTGCCGTAGATTTAGTTAGATTCAAAAAGGTTGTCAAATTGTAAATTTGTAAAAATTTGTCGATAAATATTTCTAAAAAGGAAATGAAGAAGTTTCAGTTAATCATATTTTATTTTTGGTACGACTGCGAATAAATTTGATGTTTTTCTCTTTATAGGTTTTCGAGTTATCTTCAAAATTCGAAATTTGCCTATTTTAATAAATATCTCGAGTACGGTCCATTTTAGAGAAATTATGTATAGAACAAAAATTATAGAGAATGATATTATAAACAACTTTTATTTGAACAATTTTTTTAAAAATTCGAATTTTGCACTTTTTGTCAAATTTCTCGAATACGGACCATTTTAGGAAAATTTTGTATAAAACAAAAATTATAGATAATAATATTACAAGCAACTTTTGTTTAAAGAATTTTCTTCTTCGAGCGTAAATAACAGAAATATTCTATAAAATAGAAAAAACGTACCCCCCCAGATGTTCCGACTATGCCCAAAATTAAATCCGTTCACCGCAGGATGGTTTAAAGTTCAAAATTAAAAATTTTGTGTTTTTCTCTTCATCAGTTTTTGAGTTATCTTCAAAATTCAAAATTAGCCTATTTTTTCAAATATCTCCAATACGGTCCATTTTAGAGAAATTATGTAAAGAACAAAATTATAAAGAATTACATTACAAGCAACTTTTATTTAAAGAAATTTCTTCTCCAACTGTAAATAACAGAAATATTCTATAAAATAGAAAAACGTACGTAAGGGTATTTTTTAAAAATAGGGGTAATTTTAAAAGAAAGAAAAGTTGAATAATTGGAAGTAATAAAGTTAATACGGAAATTATAAAATATTCCAAAAAATGAGAAATTTTGGAACATAAAGAGGAATTTGTATTTTTTAAAGAATGGGGGTAATTTTTGTCAAAAAATGGGGGTGGTTATCCCAAAACGGGTATTTAAAAAAAAGGTAATTTTGGAACTAATACGGTTAATAAGGAAATTTTAAAATATTCCAAAAAAAATGGGAAATTTTGGAAAAGAAAGGGGAATTTGTATTTTTTAAAGAATGGGGTAATTTGTTTCAAAAAAACGGGATGGTTATCCCAAAACGGGTATTTTAAAAAAGAGGTAACTTTTGGAACTAATAAAGTTAATAAGGAAATTTTAAAATATTCCAAAAATGGAAAATTTTGGAACATAAAGAGGAATTTGTATTTTTTAAAGAATCGGGTAATTTTTGTCAAAAAATGGGGTGGTTATCCCAAAACGGGTATTTAAAAAAAAGGTAATTTTGGAACTAATACAGTTAATAAGGAAATTTTAAAATATTCCAAAAAAAATGGGAAATTTTGGAAAAGAAAGGGGAGTTTGTATTTTTTAAAGAATGGGGTAATTTTTTTCAAAAAACGGGATGGTTATCCCAAAACGGGTATTTTAAAAAAGAGGTAACTTTTGGAACTAATAAAGTTAATAAGGAAATTTTAAAATATTCCAAAAATGGAAAATTTTGGAAAAGAAAGGGGAATTTGTATTTTTTAAAGAATGAGGTAATTTTTTTCAAAAAACGGGATGGTTATCCCAAATCGGGTATTTTAAAAAAGAGGTAACTTTTGGAACTAATAAAAGAATATTTTTTCACAAAATGGGAAAACTTTGGATAAAATTGGGAAATGAGTGGGGTAATTGAAAAATAGGACAATTAAAAAAAAACAAAAAATGTAACTAAATTGAGGTAACTTATCAAAAAATAAGAACATTTTGGAAAAGAAGGGAGAATTTGTATTTTTTAAATAATGGGGTAATTTTTTTCAAAAAACGGGATGGTTATACCAAAACGGGTATTTTAAAAAAGAGGTAACTTTTGGAACTAATAAAGGAATATTTTTTCAAAAAATGGGAAAAATTTGGGTAATGTAGTGGGGTAATTAAAGAAATAGGACAATTTTTCAAAAAAAAAATAATAATAATTAAATTGAGGTAACTTATTAAAAAATAAGAAAATTTTAAAATATTCCAAAAATTGAAAATTTTAAAAAAGAAAGGGAATTTGTATTTTTTAAAGAATGGGGTAATTTTGTCAAAAAATGGGGTGGTTATCCCAAAACGGGTATTTAAAAAAAAGGTAACTTTTGGTACTAATAAAGTTAACAAGGAAATTTTAAAATATTCCAAAAAAATCGGAAATTTTGGAAAAGAAAGAGGAATTTGTATTTTTTAAAGAATGGGGTAATTTTTTTCAAAAAATGGGGTGGTTATCCCAAAACGGGTATTTTAAAAAAGAGGTAACTTTTGGAACTAATAAAGGAATATTTTTTCAAAAAATGGGAAAAATTTGGATAAAATTGGGTAATGTAGTGAGGTAATTGAAAAAAAGGGTAATTTTTCGAAAAATAAGTAACTAAATTGAGTTAACATTTCAAATAAAAAATACATAAAACTTTTAATTATATTGTCAAAAAAATGAGGAAATTTTAAAATATTCAAAAAATGGGCTATTTAAAAAAATTAAAAATAGAAAAAAAATTGCAACCATTCCAAATAAATGGGGTTAATTTATGAGTTAATTTAATTAGTTTACCGCAGGATTGATTAAATTTAAAATCTGTTGTTTTTTTTATCTATTTTTGAGTTTTTAAAAATTAAAAAAAAAAACGAAATTTGCACTTTTTCTCAAATATCTCGAATACGGTCCATTTTAGAGAAATTATATACGAAACAAAAATTATAGAGAATGACAGTATAAACAACTTTTAGTTGAACAATTTTTTTCTCCAAGCGTAAATAACAAAAATATTATATTAAATAGAAAAACGTGCCTCCCCAGATGCTCAAAATTTAATCAGTTCACCGCAGGATGGTTTAAAGTTCAAATTTAAAAATTTCGTGTTTTTCTCTTTATCAGTTTTTGAATTATCTTCAAAATTCGAAATTTGCTTATTTTTGAAATATCTCGAATACGGTCCATTTTAGAAAAATTATGCAACTAACAAAAATTATAGAGAATGACATCACAAACAACTTTTATTCGAACATTTTTTAAAAAAATTCAAATTTTGCACATTTTGACAAATATCTCGAATACAGACCATTTTAGGAAAATTTTGTATAAAACAAAAATTATAGATAATGACATTACAAGCAACTTTTATTTGAAAAAATTTCTTCTCCAATCGTAAATAAAAAGAAATATTCTATAAAATAGAAAAACATACCCCCCAGATGTTCCGACTATGCTCAAAATTTACGTAGTATTAAAGTATAAATTGAAATCAATATTTTCGATAGGGATAAATTAATAAAAAATTATATTCAACAAATTCATACCTGTTTTTCATATGCATTACACAAATTCACCAAAGTCGTTATAACCCCAAACAAAACAGACTGGTCACCGCTTTTCGCCAACTCCACCAACGCCTGCAACGCCGGTTTATCTTCTATAAGCTTCTCTTTCACTTCGGCATCAAGAGTAAGGTATGACAGTCCCTCTGCAGCCCATTTACGAATATCCGCATCCTTACCCGGATGCAAGAGGAACCGACGACAAGCTTCAGCCAGCTTCAACGAAGAACCTTTTAAAAAATTGATAATTTGTAGTAAGAATAATTGTAAGTGTATTAAAACCTCACCTTCTGCAAACGGTTTCAAAGAAGCGTCAGTACCTCCACTACTACCCAACTTACACAAACCAACTAGAGCTCGAATTCGGATATGATCGTTCTTACTTTTGTATAGATGTTTCAAAATATCTATACCCTGATTAATTATAGCTTTAGCTTTGTCTGCTTTGCTAGCAGCTGCTATAATACATTCGCAAGCAACTTTCTGTTGCAGCTCGTCCTCTGTATTCGCCATAACCAAGATCATTTCCATGATGCCCTCTTTACCTAAAAGCAGAGGGACATACATCAAAATTATAGAAACAGACCCTCTCCTAGGTCCATCAAAATTACAGAACAATTGTGGCAAGAAGGACCATTAAGTGCCTATCAACAGAATCAAAAGCTCCAAAAGCTTCAAAGAAGTCAAAATTCGGAGCTCCAAACGAAGAACTGGAGAGTTAGTGGAAGAAACTTGGACCCTAGGGGACAGCAACTTTTCATAAACATCGTTTCAGTCTCTTGGAAGAAGACAAAGTAGAAACAATGAACACTGTTGCTGAATTTCTCCATCTTTATAAAAGAGATTGCTGTTTCTGGAACTTTCTCAGGTTGAGGAAACTTCCACTAAGAAGGAGAATCAGCAACCACAAGAAAATGGGGTCGCAGAACCAGTAACCGAGGCTCCAGTGGAGATAGGAAGATCTGCCAGAGGATAATCAGCCTTTGATTGCAGAACTACAAGAAAATGGGGCTATAGAACCAGTGGATGAAGCTCCAATGGAGATAGGGAGTTTGGGAGTCCACAGCACTATCTAGGTGAAGACGTAATGGCACTTTTTGACTTTGTTTCTGTGTCTGAGGAGGAATTATTAAGACCATCCCCGAACCTCAAAGGTAAAAACAAATACAAGCCAGAATTTTGGAATCTACAGTTTCCAAATGGACAGATACAGACTTCCTCTATGACAGAAGAGGAAATGTTGCAGAAAAATAGTACACCAATGACAACAGTGGACATTAGCAGTAAAGAAGTACTTAAAATTTGCAATGATTGTACAAGTTTGAAACATTTGAAGCAGAAATATCACCAGTAACTTTACCCTGAATGTTTAACTGATGGTTATGTCAAACTTTGACACAAGTTATCCGAAAAAAACCTGTAAGATTGGGTCAATGGAACTAAACAGTCTCAGCACCAAGAAAAACAAGACACATTGCTTCAAATTTTGATGATACGCTTACAAACCAATGATGGTATAATAGTACCTTTTAGAGCACTAATAGATAAAGGTTCTGAAGCTTCGTTTATTAAAGAAGAAGTTGCCCAAATACTAGCCTTGTCAAGAAAAAGTATTGAAGCAGAAATATCAAGATTCTTCAGTAACTTTGCCCTGAACGTTCAACTGATGGTTAAGTCAAATTTTGACACAAGCTATCCCAAAAAAAAAAACTAAGATTGGGTGAGAAAAGGATAATCAGTTGAACTCTAGACAGTCTCAGCACCAAGAAACAAAAGACAGTAAAGGTACTATGTTCATTTGGGGCAATTCCTTATGTAAATCAACATGGGAAATCGCCGAGGTTCATTCTGCCAATTTTAATACGTTTCAAGGTCACGCGTCGAGGATTTTATCAGTAACTAACTTGCCGGGCCACCGGTGGAGGAGTGGGGGTAATTAAATCTCTTTTGACGTTAAAGAGAAAAATCATGCGATTGCCAAAAGGGCTTAAGCGTGTTTCTCGACTACTATTGGTTCGATTCAAACGGGAAAACGGCATTATATAGAGAACGCGGTAAAGATGAACGTTGAAGAGAAAAATCATGCGCAGTAGCTATGCCAAAAGGACCTAAGCGTGTTTCTCGATTATTACTGGTCCGATTCAAAAGGAAAAACGGTATTATGTAGAAAACGTAATATAGATGAACGTTGAAAAGAAAATACGACATTTCGTTTGAAGTTTGATGTTTCGTTTGATAGATATTGATAGATATTCATAGATATTGATAGATATTGTTAGATATTGATAGATATTGATAGATATTGATAGATATTGATAGATATTGATAGATATTGATATATATTGATAGATATTGATAGATATTGATAGATATTGATAGATATTGATAGATATTGATAGATATTGATAGATATTGATAGATATTGATAGATATTGATAGATATTGATAGATATTGATAGATATTGATAGATATTGATAGATATTGATAGATATTGATAGATATTGATAGATATTGATAGATATTGATAGATATTGATAGATATTGATAGATATTGATAGATATTGATAGATAGATATTGATAGATATTGATAGATATTGATAGATATTGATAGATATTGATAGATATTGATAGATATTGATAGATATTGATAGATATTGATAGATATTGATAGATATTGATAGATATTGATAGATATTGATAGATATTGATAGATATTGATAGATATTGATAGATATTGATAGATATTGATATATATTGATAGATATTGATAGATATTGATAGATATTGATAGATATTGATAGATATTGATAGATATTAATAGATATTGATATATATTGATAGATATTAATAAATATTAATAGATATTAATATATAGCGTGTTTCTCGGTTATTGGTGGTCCGATTCAATCGGGAAAAACGACATTATGTAGATGAACGTTGAAGAGAAAAATCGATGTTTCGTTTAACGTTTTCGTTTGACGTTTCGTTTAAAGTTTCCGTTTGACGTTTCGTTAGACGTTTTCGTTTCCGTTTCGTTTGACGTTTCATTTAAAGTTTCCGTTTGACGTTTTCATTTGATGCTTCGTTTGACGTTTCCGTCGTTAGGTGTTTCGTTTGACGTTTTCGTTTGCCGTTTCGTTTAAAGTTTCTGTTTGACGTTTACGTTTAGTTTGAAGTTTTCGTTTGACGTTTGATGTTTCGTTTGACGTTTCCGTCGTTTTGCATTTCGTTTGACGTTGCCGTTAGACGTTTGATGTTTCGTTTGACATTCTCGTTTGACGTTTCCGTTTGACGTTTCCGTTTGACGTTTCATTTAAAGTTTCCGTTTGACGTTTGATGTTTCGTTTGGCGTTTTTGTCGTTTGGCGTTTTCGTCGTTTGGCGTTTCCGTTAGACGTTTAGTTTGACGTTTTCGTTTGATGTTTCGTTAGACATTCTCGTTTGACGTTTTCGTGTGACGTTTCCGTTTGCAGTTTCGTTTAAAGTTTCCGTTTGACGTTTACGTTTAGTTTGACCTTTACGTTTAGTTTGACGTTTTCGTTTGACGTTTTATTTGACGTTTCGTTTGATGTTTTCGTTTGACGTTTCCGTCGTTTGGCGTTTCGTTTGACGTTTCCGTTAGACGTTTAATTTGACGTTTGATATTTCGTTAGACATTCTCGTTTGACGTTTCCGTTAGACATTCTCGTTTGACGTTTCCGTTAGACATTCTCGTTTGACGTTTCCGTTTGCCGTTTCGTTTAAAGTTTCCGTTTGACGTTTATATTTAGTTTAACGTTTTGTTTGACGTTTCCGTCGTTTGGCGTTTCGTTTGACGTTGCCGTTTCACGTTTCCGTCGTTTGGCGTTTCGTTTGACGTTTCCGTTAGACGTTTGATATTTCGTTAGTACATTCTCGTTTGACGTTTTCGTGTGACGTTTCCGTTTGCAGTTTCGTTTAAAGTTTCCGTTTGACGTTTCCGTTTAGTTTGACGTTTCGTTTGACATTTGATGTTTTGTTTGACGTTTTCGTTTGACGTTTTGGTTTCCGTCGTTTGGCGTTTCGTCTGACGTTTCGTTTGACGTTGCCGTTTAACGTTTCCGTTAGACGTTTAGTTTGACGTTTGATATTCGTTAGACATTCTCGTTTGACGTTTCCGTTTGCCGTTTCGTTTAAAGTTTCCGTTTGACGTTTATGTTTAGTTTGACGTTTGATGTTTCGTTTTACGTTTCCGTCGTTTGGCGTTTCATTTGACGTTTCCGTTTCACGTTGCCGTTTCACGTTTCCGTTTGACGTTTCCGTTAGACGTTTAGTTTGACGTTTTCGTTTGACGATTGATGTTTCGTTAGACATTCTCGTTTGACGTGTTCGTGTGACGTTTCGTTTAACGTTTTCGTTTGACGTTTCATGTTTCGTTTCTACCAAAGAGGCAGTATCGAAGGTATCGAAAACGTCTACATACAGATTTGCAAAATAATCGAATAATACTTATTCGACGATTATTTATTACTATAAATAGACTAACTTTAAAAAGGGAATACACATTAAATGTTTTATTAAAATGTATACATACAGCTCGGCGTCATGTCACCAGGAGTTAGGGATATTAACAAAGACAGTGAGAGAGACAGACTGAAAGACAGACGAACAGATAAAGTCATAGAAATTCGTACAAATTCAATTGGCATTACATAGTACCTTTACTCAAGACAATTAAGTATCGTTTGATGATACACGTACAAACCAATGATAGCACAATAGTACTTTATAGAGCACTGTTAGATACAGGATCTAAAGCTTTATTTATTAAAAAAAAGAACCTGCCCAAATTTTTTTTATTACCTGTTAGACAATACATCAGTAAAACAGTTAAGAAAATATTCATTTACTGTTGCAGAGCACTACGAAACCTACCTTTCAATACGCCTGTGGCGAGAATACTAGAGAAACGATAAAAAAAATAATATAACAGAATTGAAATCCGTTAATCACTTAAAATAGACAAATCCATTTATTCTGTTCATCATGTTTGACCATTATAGATAGTAAAAAGAACGAAAAATATAAAACATCGACTCGAACACTTACCAATCAAAGCATTGCCTACATCCAGAGGCCCTCTTAGTAGAGAAGTGAGAGCAGCAGCAACTCTTACTTTAGACTCGATATCAGGTGTCAACAATTTTCTTTTAATATAATTTTCGATCCTTTCCATAAATTTTTCACGTAATTGATCGTAGTACATATTCTCGTTTATTCTAGCTAAACAAACAGCTGCTATGGTGGAAGTTGATTTCGTGATGTTCATCGCGCTTTCGTACTTATATTCCTCTAATTCGCTGGCGCATTCCATTAATTTTTCGACGCCATTTATGTCGATCACTTGTTCAGCCCAAGATAACTGATCGTAGTGAATATTTCTCATGATAAGTTCAATTAAAGCATCTCTAGCTAGACCCGAGATGATTCGATTGTCGATAGATTTCACCAAACAAGAAAGTAACACATCTATTTGTTTCTTGTTTTTTTCCACCAGTTCTTTTTTTGGTTTAGTATCCGGGCGGTTTTCCATGCCGGAAAATGCGTTTAGAATAGTTTGTATGCAATGTTCTGCAGCGTTTACTTGTTTTTCGTCATCAGCATCGAGGATTTCTAAAAACCAAGGTATGCCGACGATTTCTAACACTTTTTTAGTACGAGTTTCGTTGTGTTTACAGAGTTCTCCGATTATGCGAATGCCCGTGGTGATTATTTCTTTGTTTTTCTCAACCTATAATTGTGAGATATTTTAAAATGATTGCTCAATAAATTTATTTTATTTATTTTTTATTTATTTTATTACAATATCCAACAAGATTGCCCCTAATCTTATCTGAAACGCTCAAATTACAAACAATATCATTAATAAAAAGCGGTTATAATAGAGGCCCTAAAACCGAACCTTGCGGGACGCCGGATGTTTGTTTGAAATTCATTGATTAACACTTATAACTACAGTATGACAGATGTTCATATGCTCAGTGAGAAGAAGAGCGGAGTTCAGTTCATTCTGGTTTTTTAAGATGATCATCTGGATCTTAATAAATTATAATCGAAGTTGATGTCTATAAAGCTAGCATGACAAGGTCGCGTAAGCTAGCAAAGCGACTTATACTAGATATTGATAGATATTGATTGATTGATAGATATTGATTGATTGATAGATATTGATTGATAGATATTGATAAATATTGATAGATATTGATTGATATTGATAGATATTGATAAATATTGATAGATATTGATAGATATTGATAGATATTGATAGATATTGATAGATATTGATAGATATTGATAGATATTGATAGATATTGATAGATATTGATAGATATTGATAGATATTGATAGATATTGATAGATATTGATAGATATTGATATATATTGATAGATATTGATAGATATTGATAGATATTGATAGATATTGATAGATATTGATAGATATTGATAGATATTGATAGATATTGATAGATATTGATAGATATTGATAGATATTGATAGATATTGATAGATATTGATAGATATTGATAGATATTGATAGATATTGATAGATATTGATAGATAGATATTGAAAGATATATATTGATAGATATATATTGATAGATATATATTGATAGATAGATATTGATAGATAGATATTGATAGATAGATATTGATAGATAGATATTGATAGATAGATATTGATAGATAGATATTGATAGATAGATATTGATAGATAGATATTGATAGATAGATATTGATAGATAGATATTGATAGATAGATATTGATAGATAGATATTGATAGATAGATATTGATAGATAGATATTGATAGATAGATATTGATAGATAGATATTGATAGATAGATATTGATAGATAGATATTGATAGATAGATATTGATAGATATTGATTGATAGATATTGCTAGATATTGATAGATATTGATAGATATTGATAGATATTGATAGATATTGATAGATATTGATAGATATTGATAGATATTGATAGATATTGATAGATATTGATAGATATTGATAGATATTGATAGATATTGATAGATATTGATATATATTGATAGATATTGATAGATATTGATAGATATTGATAGATATTGATAGATATTGATAGATATTGATAGATATTGATAGATATTGATATTGATAGATATTGATATATATTGATAGATATTGATAGATATTGATAGATATTGATAGATATTGATAGATATTGATAGATATTGATAGATATTGATAGATATTGATAGATATTGATAGATATTGATAGATATTGATAGATATTGATAGATATCAATAAATATTAATTGTTATTGATAGATATTGATAGATATTGATAGATATCAATAAATATTAATTGTTATTGATAGATATTGATAGATATTAATAAATATTAATTGTTATTGATAAATATTTATAAAAATTATTAAAAATTAATAAAATAAATGAAACTTTTAAAAAATTAAAGGATATCAATAATTATTAATAAAAATCAATAATATCAAATAAAAATTAATAAATATTAAATAAATAAAAACTAATAAAATTCCATCAAAGCATGATCAGATCAGCTAATAATTTATATAAAAAAGTAAATAATTCCAAACTCAAATGTGACTCAAAATGTAAAATTAAAAAACACTCAAAAGCCATGTCACAATAATACTTGAAAACATCTACTCCCATGGCTAATACCGCACCAGGTATTGAATAACATCGCAAGAAAAAAGCAGAAATACATTTTTGTTTTTAATATTATATTTAATGACTTGACATTAGAATTTTAAAATTTTTTTAAAATTTTGAATTTTAAAAAATTTTTTACTTTTGTTTTTAGTTTTTTTTACCTATTTTTTAGCTTTCGTATACTATTATGTTATCTATCTTTGTTGATAAGAATGTAATTGATTCTTCAACAATAAAAGAAATTGACTTGACTTGACAATATTTTCAACACTATTAAGGAGAACGGTTTCGTCTTAATTAGAACTCATCAGCAAGAACCAGACAATCTCGACTCGATTCTTTAGTGTAGTCTGCCAGCTATATAAAATTAATCTTATCAAATACCACTTTTATTCATTTTTAGTACTTACTTTAATAATCCTTTTGATTTGATGTACAACCGGTGATCTCACCATCAGTTCAGCACCAGCATGCTGTCTCGCGATTACCAAAAGATTGTTCATAGCAGTCTCGCGTTTATCTTTCGTCTCTTCTAAATCGAACGCTATTTTCGTCATACTTTCCAACTTACTACTAGTTTGTTCGTTTTGCCTAGCTCTTTCTTGTACGATTTTAAAAAGATTTTCAAGAATTGGTTGAATTTGTTTGTTTGTAGGATCGTCTTTGAATATTTGTGTCGCATCTCGGTATGCTTCTTCATACCTATAAGGTTTTAGATGTTAAAGTCAAATTATGAAACGATTAAAATCGATCGAAATACGCGATTTTTGTGCCAATCCTACTGACTGCGCCAGTTATATGATTATAGGATTAGTAGTATTTCTAAAAAAACTTTATTTTTGAAACATAAACAATGTTTTGAGCTCTATTAATCTAAGAATCTAACTGTGAATTGAACTATATTGAAATAAAAATATTAAAGTTAAAATGCAAATATAAAATGAAGAATTTCGTAAAGTTCAATTAAGGTTCTGGTATATTATTTATCAAGTTTTATAGACATTAAATGTATATGGAAGTAAAAGATGAAATAAAAGAATTAATATCCTGAAACGTAATCTGCAAAATTTACTTATGGAAAAAAATAATTTTATAGAAAAATTACAAACTGGAAAGGAATGAATATTTAAAAGATTTTAAAATTATTAAATTGTTAAATCTATAATTTTTGTTCTATACAAAATTTTCCTAAAATGATCCGCATTCGAGAAATTTTACAAAAATTATAGATAATAATATTAGAAGTAACTTTTATTTGAAGAATTTTTTTCTCCAAGCGTAAATAACAAATATATTCAATAAAATATTCTTAAAAATTTGAATTTTTTACATTTTGTCAAATTTCTCGAATACGGACCATTTTAAGAAAATTTTGTATAAAACAAAAAATATAGATAATAATATTAGAAGTAACTTTTATTTGAAGAATTTTTTTCTCCAAGCGTAAATAACAGATATATTCAATAAAATTTTCATAAAAATTTGAATTTTTTTACATTTTGTAAAATTTCTCGAATACGGACCATTTTAGGAAAATTTTGTATAAGACCAAAATTATAGATAATAATATTAGAAGTAACTTTTATTTGAAGAATTTTTTTCTCCAAGCGTAAATAACAAATATATTCAATAAAATATTCTTAAAAATTTGAATTTTTTACATTTTGTCAAATTTCTCGAATACGGACCATTTTAAGAAAATTTTGTATAAAACAAAAAATATAGATAATAATATTAGAAGTAACTTTTATTTGAAGAATTTTCTTCTCCAAACGTAAATAACAGATATATTCCATAAAATATTCTTAAAAATTTGATTTTTTTACATTTTGTCAAATTTCTCGAATACGGACCATTTTAGGAAAATTTTGTATAGGACCAAAATTATAGATAATAATATTAGAAGTAACTTTTATTTGAAGAATTTTTTTGTCCAAGTGTAAATAACAAATATATTCAATAAAATATTCTTAAAAATTTGAATTTTTTACATTTTGTCAAATTTCTCGAATACGGACCATTTTAAGAAAATTTTGTATAAAACAAAAAATATAGATAATAATATTAGAAGTAACTTTTATTTGAAGAATTTTTTTGTCCAAGTGTAAATAACAGATATATTCATTAAAATTTTCATAAAAATTTAAATTTTTTTACATTTTGTAAAATTTCTCGAATACGGACCATTTTAGGAAAATTTTGTATAAAACAAAAATTATAGATAATAATATTAGAAGTAACTTTTATTTGAAGAATTTTCTTCTCCAAGCGTAAATAACAAATATATTCAATAAAATATTCTTAAAAATTTGAATTTTTTGTTCTATACAAAATTTTCTTAAAATGGTCCGTATTCGAGAAATTTGACAAAATGTAAAAAATTCAAATTTTTAAGAATATTTTATTGAATATATTTGTTATTTACGCTTGGAGAAAAAAATTCTTCAAATAAAAGTCACTTCTAATATTATTATCTATAATTTTGGTCCTATACAAAATTTTCCTAAAATGGTCCGTATTCGAGAAATTTTAGAAAATGTAAAAAAAAATAAATTTTTATGAAAATTTTAATGAATATATCTGTTATTTACGTTTGGAAAAGAAAATTCTTCAAATAAAAGTTACTTACAATATTATTATCTATAATTTTTGTCCTATACAAAATTTTCCTAAAATGGTCCGTATTCGAGAAATTTTACAAAATGTAAAAAAATTTAAATTTTTATGAAAATTTTAATGAATATATCTGTTATTTACGTTTGGAAAAGAAAATTCTTCAAATAAAAGTTACTTACAATATTATTATCTATAATTTTTGTTCTATACAAAATTTTCCTAAAATGGTCCGTATTCGAGAAATTTGACAAAATGTAAAAAATTCAAATTTTTAAGAATATTTTATTGAATATATCTGTTATTTACGTTTGGAGAAGAAAATTCTTCAAATAAAAGTTACTTCTAATGTTATTATCTATCATTTTTGTTCTATACAAAATTTTCCTAAAATGGTCCGTATTCGAGAAATTTGATAAAATGTAAAAAATTCAAATTTTTAAGAATATTTTATTGAATATATCTGTTATTTACGTTTGGAGAAGAAAATTCTTCAAATAAAAGTTACTTCTAATGTTATTATCTATAATTTTTGTCCTATACAAAATTTTCCTAAAATGGTCCGTATTCGAGAAATTTTACAAAATGTAAAAAAAAATAAATTTTTATGAAAATTTTAATGAATATATCTGTTATTTACGTTTGGAAAAGAAAATTCTTCAAATAAAAGTTACTTACAATATTATTATCTATAATTTTTGTCCTATACAAAATTTTCCTAAAATGGTCCGTATTCGAGAAATTTTACAAAATGTAAAAAAATTTAAATTTTTATGAAAATTTTAATGAATATATCTGTTATTTACACTTGGACAAAAAAATTCTTCAAATAAAAGTTACTTCTAATGTTATTATCTATAATTTTGGTCCTATACAAAATTTTCCTAAAATGGTCCGTATTCGAGAAATTGTACAAAATGTAAAAAAATTCAAATTTTTATGAACATTTTATTGAATATATCTGTTATTTACGCTTGGAGAAGAAAATTCTTCAAATAAAAGTTACTTCTAATGTTATCTATAATTTTTGTTTTATACAAAATTTTCCTAAAATGGTCCGTATTCGAGAAATTTGACAAAATGTAAAAAATTCATATTTTTATGAACATTTTATTAAATATATCTGTTATTTACGCTTGGAGAAAAAAATTCTTCAAATAAAAGTTGTTTGAGATATTATTCTCTATAATTTTTGTCTTATACAAAATTTTCCTAAAATGGTCCGTATTCGAGAAATTTAACAAAATGTAAAAAAATTCAAATTTTTATGAAAATTTGATGGAAAGTCATGTATTGGACACATCAGATTTTTTAATTATGTCCACAATCGCCTAGATAGAAAAAGGTTAGTGGGTGCCCTCTTTTTTGATCTATCTAAAGCTTTTGACACCATTAATATCTCAATTATTATTATAAAATTAAGTTCTTTAGGTTTTAGGGGTATTTTTTTGCAATGGATTGATTCCTATATAGGATTCTGTTTATCAGAAGTAAAGAACATGGATTGCAGTGTTCCTCAGGGATCAATAATTATAGTAATAGTAATTATAATACTCCTAGTGGCAATTTACTAGGCATATCCCCCTCATGTTTCGAAAAAAGTTCATACTACTGTGTAATAAGGTTATTCAATCATCTATCTACCTCTCTAAAACAAATTAATAGTCTGAGCTCATTTAAATGCAAATTAGGAAGGTATTTATCCCAAAAATATCCCAAAAAGTGTTGTTGTTATTATTATTATAATAAAACTACTATGAGTGCTTGGTCTTTTGGCAATATAGAGTAATGAAATAAGTTTCAAAAGAAACACAGGAAACCAAAATGTAAACTTATGGGTACCAAAAACCAAAGGAAAGAAAATAATACTGTGCAAATGGCCCAAAATTCACAAATACTCTAATAACAGAAAGTAAGAACAACAATATAACACGATTAAATCTAAAATAGGGTCCAATCTTATCAATTTATATAAAATTAAATATAATAAGTTATACTTAGCAAAATAAATGTATCATACAAGTTTTAAGTAAGGTTATATTAATATTTTATGTGATATACATACCTTTTTAATGCTTCTAAAGCTTGACAACGTCTGAATAGCGCTTTGGGGTCCATAGGAACTATCTTCAAACATTTATCGCAATCTTCTAGTGCGGCTTCATACTGTTCTTGTTTCAAGTAAGCAGCAGCACGATTTTTGTAGTAAATAGACAAATTTCGTGATTCTTCTTTGGTTATATTTATAGCTTTTGTATAGAAGTCGATTGCTTTGCCCCAATCTTCCTTCTTAAAAGCGACGTTTCCTTCTTCTTTAAAAGTTTCGGCTTGCGTTTCGTTTTCCATGGTCATTTTTGTGGTTACCTATTAAAGAATATGCCGGATCACACACCTGCATATATAAATTTTTTGGCACAGAATTTTCTAGCACGTTGTTTCTAGATTATGATTTAAAATTAGATTATCTATTTGTAGAATTCACAGTGGCTCATATTCTTGATTTCTATTTTAAAAATAAAAACATTGACGTTGGACGGACTTCGGACTAGTAGCCACAACCACCAGGTCTGCCAACGTTATGATAGAAAACCAGCATTACTTGCTTTGTGTAGAGATGGGCGATGTTTTACAATACAGTTATTTTGTCACTGATGTAGTTTTATCACAAAATTATTTAAGGGCAAGTTCAATTTTGTTTGACATATAATCACGATTTTTTTTAGGTTAGAAAATTGCATTATCGATTTTTTCATTCGAAGTAATAAAAGACGTCACTTTAAATTTCTATCTCTTTATGTCAGCAAATATGTAACAAGATTGAATTTATAAAACGTATGTCATTAATGAATATGTGGCAGCAACTGACGGCAACATTGTCAGCTACTCCATAGGTCTTTTCCTTTGCATCGAAAGTGTAGCAATTCTGAAAATATCGTTCCATATATACAAATTGTATGGATGGAACGATATTTTCAGAAGTGACGTAGCTTAGTGCTACACTTTCGATGCAAAGGAAAAGACCTCATGGCTACTAGAGTACATACAGGTCCGGTATAAGCAATTAGGTTGAATACTATGGAGATGACATGCCAAAAAAAAAATAGACACCCCTTCCCCCTCTTGTAGTGGTCATGTCATAGTTGTCAAAGAGCTGTCAGAACTTTGTTCAAATTTAAATATTTCGACGTTATTTCTATCTTAATAAGTGTTTTTTTTTATTAATTTGTATAAAAAAGTGTGCCAAAATTAATTGTAAAAACTCTTCAGTGAAAGAGCGTAAGAAAATATCTAATTTAAGTTTTCATAAGTAAGTATAAGGAGTGTACTTAGAATTTTTTTTAGAATGCTTAACTTTTTTTATTATAGGTTTCCAAAAGACCCACAATATCTCAAAATGAATGTTTAGTTAGTATACACTTTATTTACAATAAAACTTAAATAACTAACTTAATAAAGAACATTATCTTGACTAACTTTATAATAAAGACAAATAACTATATTAAAACTTAGATAACTATAATAAAACTTAAATAACTAACTTTATAATTAAACTTAAAAACCAACTATAATTAAACTTAACTTAAAAACCAACTTATAATTACACTTAAATGACTAACTTTTTAAGTAACACATAATTTAGAATAAAATTTCAAGTATTTAAAAGCAGTTTTTATTAGATCCTAATTTCCTATTATTATACCGTTTTGATAATGAATATACTGCATAATAATAAATACTGGTGATGTATTTTTATTATTTAATTAGATTTGTGGCCATCACTCACTGCTATGTACCTCCTCATCCTCATGATATAAAATAATATGCCCGCTCATGTACCACATTACAATTATTATTAATATTAAATGAACAAACATTAAATTGATGATCCTTAATTTAAAAACCTACCGACTTTGTTCACAATACACAATAAATATAATTTAAAACATATTACGAAATTAATGATATTTAAAAATTAGTAGTTTTGGAACTTAAACTAGTAGTTTTTGTATCATGGATCTATATTTAAGGCTTTATAACATACCAAATCTTGTTCCAGACTAACCCATCCATACCTATACCTCCTTCTCCAAAAATCAGGAATATGCAATATCTGATAATATTGACGATTTTGAGAAAGGGAATGTTATTAAAAATGATCATGATTATTAAGAAAATCATTTGTGAACAATGTCTAGATGCTTTAATAAGTAAAACTAGAGATTTGTTTCTATTTTCATTCATTGATATAAAGAATAAAAATGGTTTGCAATATCCATCGAAAGATGTAATAAACATTTGTTTAAAATGTGAAAAAATATTAAAAATTATGAAAGACTATGAACAAAATATCAGTTGATATCATCAGCACATTAGTTTTAAAAGAATTAATAAATTCTAATGTCTTTTCGAATATTATGCAGCACAGTTTGGACCAGTTTGTGTTGGATAATCATAGAATATTAGAGAGTTCACTTAAGGTCAGTCACTATTAGTGCCGCTCTTATTTTGACATCCGAGCATGCGCAGATCACTAACTTTAATAAAGATTGTGCCTGTCCTTAATAGGGGCGGCCATTTTTATACAAGATTACTAGTACATAGGTGACCAGAAATACAGCAATATGAAAACTTGGTTGCAGATGTCTAGGTCTTTTCACTTTTAAATACATCATTTTGTACAGATTTTTTAAAAGAAATAATACAATATTATATCTGAATTAAATTTTTATTCTACAACAAAAAAAATATTTTAATGTTTAAAAATAAATGTTAGGCTGATAAATAATAGGCCGACAAATAATAGATTAAATACCTAAATACTAATTTTAAATGACAAAAGTACAGTAGAGGAAGTTAAAAATATTAAAATTTCCAGGATACTTTGTTTTATTTTAAACAATTTACTTTCTTTTTGTATAATTTCCAAAAGCTACAAATTTTTAGTGAACGGGCCGTCCTTATTGATTGTACAGTGAATTGTACTAACAACTTAAAAGAAATTTTGTCCAATCTCTATATGGCAGATAACCACAATAAGAAACGATCTGCTTGTTTTGGAACCCTAAAATAGTATAAAGTCACTTCTTTCATATCCTTTATTTTTGCTAAATCTTATTACTTACTTGTGGAATGTAACATTTGAATCTATTGGCAACAGTCTTCTTATGTTCTTGCAAGATCTTACAAGACATCTTGAATAAAGCCCAGTATAGAGATTAAAGTCTATTCACAAATGTTAAAATAAATAAAACGTTTATACACAATCAAAATATTCTAAAATAACACATTGGTATATATACTGGGGTTTTACGCCGTATACCTATTTAAGTATGGCTGCGTTCATCCGCGCCACATGCTACCTGATCGATCTGGTAGCGCTCTCAAGTGGCACTTATGAACGGTGTGTTTTGACATTTCGCTCAAGGAGCGGCCGCCATTAAAAGTAGCGCATTTTATTTATGTCTGATCGGTGATCACTGATCTGTCTTACGCACTTACGTCCACGGTTTGCTTGGGGACTAGTAGGGTTATATTAGCATATTAGCAATTGAAAAATAAACAAACAAATCTTCAACCAGAGACATTCAACTCAAAAGTAAAATGAATAAACCAAAATCAAATGTCACTTTTAAACATGGTTCATCCGTGCATAAAGATCGATCCACTCGATCAGGTAGCGTAAGTGATCGCTACTTTTGTAGCGCTCCTTGAAATGGCGCGGATGAACGCAGCCTATGTGTACCTAGCTGAATTTTTGGTCTTTTTAAACTTTTGACTATAGCGGGTCATATTTTTAATGTATGTCATCTGCAGCAGAAAGACCTACATGTTTTACATTTAAAAGTAATTAATTGTCCTTTCTACAAACTGTATTTTTACTGAAATATATTTATTTACAATTCACGTAGTGGTTTGGTTTTTGGTTTGGTAATTTGATGTCATAATTCTCCTCATTGTCAGATTTTGACATTGGCAGCTTTGATCAAGACAAGAGAGTCCTTGAACGAACAATCGTAGTTCGGGTTTTAGTTTTAAAGCACAAAGAGATTAACAAATCTGATGCACAGTGTTATTCGAACGTTGATTTTCGATCACACAGGTCATATATCGGACGGTTTCAGCGAATAACAATATAATAATATTAATCTCTTTTATGGTCTTGGCATTGGCTTGGTCGAAAAACGGTTAATAAATAATAGTAAATAGTGTAGAAGTCATAATAGCGCAATGTCATCAAATTAATTTCGAATCGATCATGTTGAAACAAATCTTAGGTAAGTAAGTCATTTAAAAGTTGTAATTCTGCATACGGACTTTAATTATATTTGAATACGACCCTGCTTAGTCAACCATTTAAACCACGCCCAGTGGGGTCATTTTTAATAAAACGTATCATATGCAAAACAATTGCATCATGGCATATCCATTAGTATTATACCTCCATGTGTTAAACGGAGATTAAAATGACATTGTTAATGTAAAAATGTCATTTTATACTTCGTTTAACACAACGATGGAATCGGTCCTAAATGTCATATAATCAAGCATCACTTATACTTAAAAATCGCGATTTGCCCATCTCTAAACCGTTATCACAAACCTTTATAATTTGAACAGTTGGCAACAACATTTAACTTGACGCATAACCTGTCAAAAGTCAAAATATTGAATTGTCATCTACATCCCAAAATAATCACTAAATATTTTCTTTAATTCCAATTAAAAAAACATATTTCTAATAATTTTCTTTTAATACACACGTGTATCTAAAATTTCTCAAAATGGTAAGCGATTTAACATCATACCAATTCGTATATAACATAAATATAACCTTAAATTTTTAGTTTCAGTTTGGATTCAACATGTTTCCAGAAATACCTAGACCTTTTAATATGACTTACAAATGTTATTCCGTTGCGATGTTCCCAGGAAATGAAAGACAAGATGTCGAACGGGGAGGAAAAAGTAGGTTTATTTAATTTATATAATAAAAAAAAATATATATAAATCCTTTGTTCTGACATTTTAGATTTCAATATTAATCTTACTATTAACTCTTCTATGTATCAGAAATATACTTTTTTGGTGGTTTTAATATGATTAATCGTTCATTCTTTTATGAATTATCAATGAGTCAACAAACTAACCTTTTGGGAATGTTATATATTAAAGTTTTTTATTTGACAATGTCAAATTTACATTTCTTGGATTCTTAGGCTTTATTTGCCTTTATATCTTCACAAAACCTGATAAAAATGTATTGATTATCCTTTCTAAACATTCATTAATGATAGTATAAATGTATTTTTAGTTATTATGCCTCCATCAGCTCTAGAGCAATTAACGAGGCTAAACATCAACTATCCTATGTTATTTAAGCTTGTAAATAAAAAAACAAATCGTACTACACACTGTGGTGTGTTAGAATTCGTCGCTGATGAAGGAAAAGTATATCTTCCCTTATGGGTAAGAAATTAAGGTTTAATAACCTTTATATTCCATTTATAATTATATTTTTTTCAAGATGATGCATAATTTGGTCCTTTCTGAAGGCGATTTGGTTCAAATGGAAAGCATTTCGCTTCCAGTAGGAACTTTTTCCAAATTTCAACCTTTGAATCCTGATTTTTTGGATATTACTAATCCGAAAGCTGTTTTGGAGAATTGTTTAAGATCTTATGCTTGTCTTACGACTGGGGACGTTATAGCTGTTAAATATAATCAAAAAGCATATGAGCTGTGTGTTTTGGAAACAAAGCCTGGGAATGCTATAAGTATCATAGAATGCGACATGAATGTATGTATAAATTATAAAAAAATATATTATTAACTTAGTTTTAAGTGTATCTAGCAATATTAATAATTATTAAAAGAATAAGATTATACCTTACAGTGATGCAGAAGGTACCTGAGTAAAACTTACTTTTTTTCAACTGGAAATTTACAGATAAAAAATAAAAATTATGTAGGTATATCAGAAAGTGATTTAAACAAAAATCATTTTGAAAATTTGACTTATGTCTTCTTATTTTTGTATCAATGATCAAATAAATGAGGCCAAAGATGGCAGACAAACTGTACAGCAGTTTTTTATAGTTATTTGGAAAAATATTTGGAACTTTAGTATCATGAAAGTTTAATAATAAATAATTAGTGTATTTATTGAAAAAATGGATCAATTCAATTAGTTAAATCTTGCAGAAAGTCAGGGATAAAACAAACACATTTACAATAAGATTCTATTTATAATTTTTATACAAATTATTCATCAGGTATTTGTTAATTGATTAAACAAAAAATTATATCTAAGCAATGATTCAAAATAAATTTGTTTGGACTTTTTAAAGATAAAAAAAACACATTTAGGACAAGATTAGAAATTCAATTTTTATAACAACAATTCAGTATGATACTGCCTATAAATTAAATAAAAAATCATTAAATAACAAGATCTGTAAATATAGTTTTTAGGGATTTAAAGTCAAGTGTTTTTGCGGATAAATATTACTCTATTAAACCAACAAAAATCAACATTTAACCCAAGATTAAAATATAATTTTTATACTAATGATTCAATACAGAAGTATCAATAAAAAAACAAACAAACAAAAAACAAACAAAAAACAACAAAAAAACAACAAAAAAAAACAACAAAAAACAACGGAAAACAACAAAAAACAACAAAAAAACAACAAAATACAACAAAAACAAACAGAAAACACAAAAAAACGAAAACAAACTTTATTTGTAAAATGTGATATTAACAATTATAGAAGGAATTCTAAACACAGAAACTATCAAAAACTAGAAAAAACTTATTTTGTTTTTAATAACACAAAATTTAAATAAATCTTACAAAAAGCAAATAAAAATAAAAAAGCAAACAAAAAACCCATCGAAAAAACAAGAAACAGACAAAAACAAACAAAAAATAACAAAAAATAACAAAAAATAACAAAAAATAACAAAAAATAACAAAAAATAACAAAAAATAACAAAAAATAACAAAAAATAACAAAAAATAACAAAAAATAACAAAAAATAACAAAAAATAACAAAAAACAACAATAAACAAACAGAAAAAAAACGAAAACAAACTGTAAAATGTGATATTAACAATTATAGAAGGAATTCTAAACACAGAAACTGTCAAAAACTAGAAAAAACTTATTTTGTTTTGTTTTTATTAACACAAAATTTAATTAAATCTTACAAAAAGCAAAAAACAAAAATAAAAAGCAAACAAAAAACAATCGAAAAAACAAGAAACAGACAAAAAAACAAAAAAACGAAACAAAAAACAAACAAAAACTAACAAAAATCAAACCAAAACAAACAAAAAACTGCCAAAAACTAAAAAAAAACGTATTTTGTTTTGTTTTTAATAACACAAAATTTAAATATATTTTACAAAAAGCAAAAACAATAAAAAAGCAAAAAAAAACTAAAAAAAAAAAACAAATAAAAAGCAAACAAAAAAACAATCGAAAAAAAAAAGAAACAGACAAAAACAAACAAAAAACAAACAAAAAACAACAAAAAATAACAAAAAAACAAACAAAACAATAAACGAAAACAAACTTTATTTGTAAAATGTGATGTTAACAATTATAGAAGGAATTCTAAACACAGAAACTGTCAAAAACTGGAAAAAAACCTATTTTGTTTTGTTTTTAATAACACAAAATTTAAATAAATCTTAAAAAGCAAAAAAACAAAAAATAAAAAAACAAATAAACAAAAAACAAATAAAAAGCAAACAAAAAACAACAGACAAAAACAAAAAAAAGAAATAAAAAATAAAAAAGCAAACAAAAAACAATCAAAAAAACAAGAAACAGACAAAAAACGAAACAAAAAACAAACAAAAACAAACAAAAATTAAACAAAAAAAAGCACAAAAATAAAAAACGAAAACAAACTTTATTTGTAAAATGTGATATTAACAATTATAGAAGGAATTCTAAACACAGAAACTGTCAAAAACTAGAAAAAACTTATTTTGTTTTTAATAACACAAAATTTAAATAAATCTTACAAAAAGCAAATAAAAATAAAAAAGCAAACAAAAAACCCATCGAAAAAACAAGAAACAGACAAAAACAAACAAAAAATAACAAAAAATAACAAAAAATAACAAAAAATAACAAAAAATAACAAAAAATAACAAAAAATAACAAAAAATAACAAAAAATAACAAAAAATAACAAAAAATAACAAAAAATAACAAAAAATAACAATAAACAAACAGAAAAAAAAACGAAAACAAACTGTAAAATGTGATATTAACAATTATAGAAGGAATTCTAAACACAGAAACTGTCAAAAACTAGAAAAAACTTATTTTGTTTTGTTTTTATTAACACAAAATTTAATTAAATCTTACAAAAAGCAAAAAACAAAAATAAAAAGCAAACAAAAAACAATCGAAAAAACAAGAAACAGACAAAAAACAAAAAAACGAAACAAAAAACAAACAAAAACTAACAAAAATCAAACCAAAACAAACAAAAAACTGCCAAAAACTAAAAAATAAACGTATTTTGTTTTGTTTTTAATAACACAAAATTTAAATATATTTTACAAAAAGCAAATAACAATAAAAAAGCAAAAAAAAAACTAAAAAAAAAAACAAATAAAAAGCAAACAAAAAAACAATCGAAAAAAAAAGAAACAGACAAAAACAAACAAAAAACAAACAAAAAACAACAAAAAATAACAAAAAAACAAACAAAACAATAAAAAAAAACAATAAACGAAAACAAACTTTATTTGTAAAATGTGATGTTAACAATTATAGAAGGAATTCTAAACACAGAAACTGTCAAAAACTGGAAAAAAACCTATTTTGTTTTGTTTTTAATAACACAAAATTTAAATAAATCTTAAAAAGCAAAAAAACAAAAAATAAAAAAACAAATAAACAAAAAACAAATAAAAAGCAAACAAAAAACAAGTAACAGACAAAAACAAAAAAAAGAAATAAAAAATAAAAAAGCAAACAAAAAACAATCAAAAAAACAAGAAACAGACAAAAAACGAAACAAAAAACAAACAAAAACAAACAAAAATTAAACAAAAAAAAGCACAAAAATAAAAAACGAAAACAAACTTTATTTGTAAAATGTGATATTAACAATTATAGAAGGAATTCTAAACACAGAAACTGTCAAAAACTAGAAAAAACTTATTTTGTTTTTAATAACACAAAATTTAAATAAATCTTACAAAAAGCAAATAAAATTAAAAAAGCTAAAAAAAAACTAAAAAAACAAATAAATAATAAATCGTATAAAAGCAAACAAAAAACCATCGAAAAAACAAGAAACAGACAAAAACAAACAAAAAATAACAAAAAATAACAAACAAACAGAAAAAAAAAACGAAAACAAACTGTAAAATGTGATATTAACAATTATAGAAGGAATTCTAAACACAGAAACTGTCAAAAACTAGAAAAAACTTATTTTGTTTTGTTTTTATTAACACAAAATTTAATTAAATCTTACAAAAAGCAAAAAACAAAAAATAAAAAGCAAACAAAAAACAATCGAAAAAACAAGAAACAGACAAAAAACAAAAAAACGAAACAAAAAACAAACAAACACTAACAAAAATCAAACCAAAACAAACAAAAAACTGCCAAAAACTAAAAAAAAAACGTATTTTGTTTTGTTTTTAATAACACAAAATTTAAATATATTTTACAAAAAGCAAATAACAATAAAAAAGCAAAAAAAACTAAAAAAAAAACAAATAAAAAGCAAACAAAAAAACAATCGAAAAAAAAAAGAAACAGACAAAAACAAACAAAAAACAAACAAAAAACAACAAAAAATAACAAAAAAACAAACAAAACAATAAACGAAAACAAACTTTATTTGTAAAATGTGATGTTAACAATTATAGAAGGAATTCTAAACACAGAAACTGTCAAAAACTGGAAAAAAACCTATTTTGTTTTGTTTTTAATAACACAAAATTTAAATAAATCTTAAAAAGCAAAAAAACAAAAAATAAAAAAACAAATAAACAAAAAACAAATAAAAAGCAAACAAAAAACAAGTAACAGACAAAAACAAAAAAAAGAAACAAAAAATAAAAAAGCAAACAAAAAACAATCAAAAAAACAAGAAACAGACAAAAAACGAAACAAAAAACAAACAAAAACAAACAAAAATTAAACAAAAAAAGCACAAAAATAAAAAACGAAAACAAACTTTATTTGTAAAATGTGATATTAACAATTATAGAAGGAATTCTAAACACAGAAACTGTCAAAAACTAGAAAAAACTTATTTTGTTTTTAATAACACAAAATTTAAATAAATCTTACAAAAAGCAAATAAAATTAAAAAAGCTAAAAAAAAACTAAAAAAACAAATAAATAATAAATCGTATAAAAGCAAACAAAAAACCATCGAAAAAACAAGAAACAGACAAAAACAAACAAAAAATAACAAAAAATAACAAACAAACAGAAAAAAAAAACGAAAACAAACTGTAAAATGTGATATTAACAATTATAGAAGGAATTCTAAACACAGAAACTGTCAAAAACTAGAAAAAACTTATTTTGTTTTGTTTTTATTAACACAAAATTTAATTAAATCTTACAAAAAGCAAAAAACAAAAAATAAAAAGCAAACAAAAAACAATCGAAAAAACAAGAAACAGACAAAAAACAAAAAAACGAAACAAAAAACAAACAAAAACTAACAAAAATCAAACCAAAACAAACAAAAAACTGCCAAAAACTAAAAAAAAAAACGTATTTTGTTTTGTTTTTAATAACACAAAATTTAAATATATTTTACAAAAAGCAAATAACAATAAAAAAGCAAAAAAAAAACTAAAAAAAAAACAAATAAAAAGCAAACAAAAAAACAATCGAAAAAAAAAAGAAACAGACAAAAACAAACAAAAAACAAACAAAAAACAACAAAAAATAACAAAAAACAAACAAAACAATAAACGAAAACAAACTTTATTTGTAAAATGTGATGTTAACAATTATAGAAGGAATTCTAAACACAGAAACTATCAAAAACTGGAAAAAAACCTATTTTGTTTTGTTTTTAATAACACAAAATTTAAATAAATCTTAAAAAGCAAAAAAACAAAAAATAAAAAAACAAATAAACAAAAAACAAATAAAAAGCAAACAAAAAACAAGTAACAGACAAAAACAAAAAAAAGAAACAAAAAATAAAAAAGCAAACAAAAAACAATCAAAAAAACAAGAAACAGACAAAAAACGAAACAAAAAACAAACAAAAACAAACAAAAATTAAACAAAAAAAGCACAAAAATAAAAAACGAAAACAAACTTTATTTGTAAAATGTGATATTAACAATTATAGAAGGAATTCTAAACACAGAAACTGTCAAAAACTAGAAAAAACTTATTTTGTTTTTAATAACACAAAATTTAAATAAATCTTACAAAAAGCAAATAAAATTAAAAAAGCTAAAAAAAAACTAAAAAAACAAATAAATAATAAATCGTATAAAAGCAAACAAAAAACCATCGAAAAAACAAGAAACAGACAAAAACAAACAAAAAATAACAAAAAATAACAAACAAACAGAAAAAAAAAAACGAAAACAAACTGTAAAATGTGATATTAACAATTATAGAAGGAATTCTAAACACAGAAACTGTCAAAAACTAGAAAAAACTTATTTTGTTTTGTTTTTATTAACACAAAATTTAATTAAATCTTACAAAAAGCAAAAAACAAAAAATAAAAAGCAAACAAAAAACAATCGAAAAAACAAGAAACAGACAAAAAACAAAAAAACGAAACAAAAAACAAACAAAAACTAACAAAAATCAAACCAAAACAAACAAAAAACTGCCAAAAACTAAAAAAAAAAACGTATTTTGTTTTGTTTTTAATAACACAAAATTTAAATATATTTTACAAAAAGCAAATAACAATAAAAAAGCAAAAAAAAACTAAAAAAAAAAACAAATAAAAAGCAAACAAAAAAACAATCGAAAAAAAAAAGAAACAGACAAAAACAAACAAAAAACAACAAAAAATAACAAAAAAACAAACAAAACAATAAACGAAAACAAACTTTATTTGTAAAATGTGATGTTAACAATTATAGAAGGAATTCTAAACACAGAAACTGTCAAAAACTGGAAAAAAACCTATTTTGTTTTGTTTTTAATAACACAAAATTTAAATAAATCTTAAAAAGCAAAAAAACAAAAAATAAAAAAACAAATAAACAAAAAACAAATAAAAAGCAAACAAAAAACAAGTAACAGACAAAAACAAAAAAAAAGAAACAAAAAATAAAAAAGCAAACAAAAACAATCAAAAAAACAAGAAACAGACAAAAAACAAAACGAAACAAAAAACAAACAAAAACAAACAAAAATTAAACAAAAAAAGCACAAAAATAAAAAACGAAAACAAACTTTATTTGTAAAATGTGATATTAACAATTATAGAAGGAATTCTAAACACAGAAACTGTCAAAAACTAGAAAAAACTTATTTTGTTTTTAATAACACAAAATTTAAATAAATCTTACAAAAAGCAAATAAAATAAAAAAGCAAAAAAAAAACTAAAAAAAACAAATAAATAATAAATCGTATAAAAAGCAAACAAAAAACCATCGAAAAAACAAGAAACAGACAAAAACAAACAAAAAATAAAAAATAACAAAAAATAACAAAAAATAACAAAAAATAACAAAAAATAACAAAAAATAACAAAAAATAACAAAAAATAACAAAAAATAACAAAAAATAACAAAAAATAACAAAAAATAACAAAAAATAACAAAAAATAACAAAAAATAACAAAAAATAACAAAAAATAACAAAAAACGAAAAATAACAAAAAATAACAAAAAATAACAAAAAATATCAAAAAACAACAATAAACAAACAGAAAAAAAAACGAAAACAAACTGTAAAATGTGATATTAACAATTATAGAAGGACTTCCAAACACAGAAACTGTCAAAAACTAGAAAAAACTTATTTTGTTTTTATTAACACAAAATTTAATTAAATCTTACAAAAAGCAAAAAACAAAAAATAAAAAGCAAACAAAAAACAATCGAAAAAACAAGAAACAGACAAAAAACAAAAAAACGAAACAAAAAACAAACAAAAAACGAAACAAAAAACAAACAAAAAACAAAAATCAAACCAAAACAAACAAAAAAACTGTCAAAAAAAAAAAACGTATTTTGTTTTGTTTTTAATAACACAAAATTTAAATAAATCTTAAAAAGCAAAAAACAAAAAATAAAAAAACAAAAAAAAAACAAATAAAAAGCAAACAAAAAACAAGTAACAGACAAAAACAAAAAAAAGAAACAAAAAATAAAAAAGCAAACAAAAAACAATCAAAAAAACAAGAAACAGACAAAAAACAAAACGAAACAAAAAACAAACAAAAACAAACAAAAATTAAACAAAAAAAGCACAAAAATAAAAAACGAAAACAAACTTTATTTGTAAAATGTGATATTAACAATTATAGAAGGAATTCTAAACACAGAAACTGTCAAAAACTGGAAAAAATCTATTTTGTTTTGTTTTAAATAACACAAAATTTAAATAAATCTTACAAAAAGCAAAAAAACAAAAACATAAAAAAGCTAAAAAAAAAACAAATAAACAAAAAACAAATAAAAAGTAAACAAAAACAATCGAAAAAACAAGAAACAGACAAAAACAAAAAAAAAAGAAACAAAAACAAAAAATAAAAAAGCAAACAAAAAACAAGAAACAGACAAAAAACAAAAAACGAAACAAAAAAAAAACAAAAAAAAACAAACAAAAACTAACAAAAAACAAACAAAAAACAAAAATCAAACAAAAACAAACAAAAAAAAATAACAAAAAACGAAAACATACTTTATTTGTAAAATGTGATATTAACAATTAGAAGGAATTCTAAACACAGAAACTGTCAAAAACTGAAAAAAAATCTATTTTGTTTTGTTTTTAATAACACAAAATTTAAATAAATCTTACAAAAAGCAAAAAAACAAAAACAAAAAAATAAAAAAGCAAAAAAAAACAAATAAACAAATAAAAAGTAAACAAAAACAATCGAAAAAACTAGAAACAGACAAAAACAAAAAAAAAAGAAACAAAAACAAAAAATAAAAAAGCAAACAAAAAACAATCGAAAAAACAAGAAACAGACAAAAAACAAAAAAACGAAACAAAAAACAAACAAAAAACAACAAAAAATAACAAAAAAAAAACAACAAAAAACAAACTTTATTTGTAAAATGTGATATTAACAATTATAGAAGGAATTCTAAACACAGAAACTCAAAAACTAGAAAAAAACTTTTTTTGTTTTTAATAACACAGAATTTAAATAAAGCTTGTTAAAACTAATTTGAAACCCATTAAAGCTGTTTCATGTAACAAGAAAAAAACAAAAAAAAAACAAAAAACAAAAAAAAACGTAAAACCAAACGAAAAACAAACAAAAAACAATCTAAAAATAAACAAAAAAATGAACAAAAGAACAAACGAAACAAAAATAAATAAAAAACTGAAAAAGCAAATAAAACAAAAGAAAAACCAAAAACAAACAAAAAATAAAACAAACAAAAACCAACAAATCTCGAAGAGCACGTGTCAATCTAAAAAATTTGGAACACGTATGATATATTGCGACGTGCTCTTCGAGCACGTCGTTAACAGCATACGAATATACTTTGTTGTTAACGACGTGCTCAAGGAGCACGTCGCAATCTAAAAATTTGGAACACATTGACTTGAAGTTTAACTTGTTTGACTTTTAAATTATTGCTTCTTGTAGGTTTTTCTTGCTGTTTTGAGCTTCTTTTTTTCTTGTACTCTTAGCTTGACTTCAAATTCGCTTTTGATTAAAGCGTCAGTAATTATTGCAGATTTTATTTTTTCAAAAATGATACACTTGCATTAATTTATTCTAAAATATATCTAATACGGTCCTATTTAATTTATAAAGTGTTCAAAGTTGTTTCATGATAGTTAAATTCCATCTAAACCAAAGATTTTTGCCGAATAACTATATAGAAACTTTAAGGATTGGTACAATTTGATTTCTTTTAATTAGCATGTATTTTTCTTCTTTTTTTGAGTATTTAATTAGCCTTCTCATTAATTTGTACTGTTGATTACAATGTAAATTTTCACATCGTAGATTTTAGCCAGTAACAAATTTTAGGTGGAATTCGCGGCCCCAGTGGGCTACAAAGAACCGGAAAGATTTAAAAAAGAAGAAGAGGAAATGTCTATTGATCCTGCTGACTTAATGCCAGAACCATCAGGTTTCGTAGCTTTCAGAGGCGCCGGAAATCGCTTAGATGGCAAAAAACGTAAAGATTCATCTTCGAGCGACAGTCACGTGTCTAAACCAACTTACGTTAAGGGAATCCCCGATTACGATTACGAGATCGGCACCTTGAATTTCATCAGAAGAACACTGAAGACGAAAGAGAAAGAAAATGATGATAATGAGGAGTTCAAGGCGTTCAGTGGAACAGGATTTAGCTTAAGAGCTAGACAGTAGCTTATGTGTTTCTTCTGTGATATGTATGTTTTCTTTTCTTAGATTATTAGATGCTATTTTTGTTTTTTTTATTCAATAAATTATTCTTAAAATGCATTGTTTTATTTTTTATTTCAATAGGAATTACAAAAAACGATACTTTAGAAATATACAGGATTGTATTATCTTGGATAAATTATACAAACCGAGGTGGTAAAATTTAATAGTAAGCTAACCAACTGCTGAATAAACACTGTTAGCTCAAGCCATCTATTCTATTATGTTTGAAACAAAGTATATGTGAAAATCAACACAGTTAGCTAATCAACTGGTGAATTGGGACTGTTTTTTTTAACTCTGTTGGTTATTAAGCTAAATAAAATATAACTTGATAGCAAATGAACGTGGTCTTTCTTATTTTCTTTTCCTCTTTCTTTTTTCTTATTTTCTTCTTTTTTTCTTTTTCCTTTTTTCTTTTTTTTCTTTCTTTTCTTAATTTTTTATCTTTTTTCTTTTTTTTTTCCTTCTTTTTTTTTCGTTTTTTCTTTACTTCTTTTTCTTCCTTATTTGTTTTTCCTTTCTTTTCTCTTTCATTTTTTTTCTTGTTTCTTTTTTTTTCCTTCTACATATACATAGTTTAAAACAAAGTATATGTGAAAATCAACACAGTTAGCTAACCAACTGGTGAATTGGGACTGTTTTTTTAACTCTGTTGGTCATTAAGCTAAATAATATATAACTTGATAGCAAATGAACGTGGTCTTTCTTATTTTCTTTTCCTCTTTCTTTTTTCTTATTTTCTTTTTCCTTTTTTTCTTTTTTTTTCTTTCTTTTCTTAATTTTTTATCTTTTTTCTTTTTTTTTCCTTCTTTTTTTTTCGTTTTTTCTTTACTTCTTTTTCTTCCTTATTTGTTTTTCCTTTCTTTTCTCTTTCATTTTTTTTCTTGTTTCTTTTTTTTTCCTTCTACATATACTTTGTTTAAAACAAAGTATATGTGAAAATCAACACAGTTAGCTAACCAACTGGTGAATTGGGACTGTTTTTTTAAATCTGTTGGTCATTAAGCTAAATAATATATAACTTGATAGCAAATGAACGTGGTCTTTCTTATTTTCTTTTCTTCTTTCTTTTTTCTTATTTTCTTTTTCCTTTTTTTCTTTTTTTTTTTTTTCTTTCTTTTCTTAATTTTTTATCTTTTTTCTTTTTTTTTTTCCTTCTTTTTTTTTTCGTTTTTTCTTTACTTCTTTTTCTTCCTTATTTGTTTTTCCTTTCTTTTCTCTTTCATTTTTTTTCTTGTTTCTTTTTTTTTCCTTCTACATATACTTTGTTTAAAACAAAGTATATGTGAAAATCAACACAGTTAGCTAACCAACTGGTGAATTGGGACTGTTTTTTTTTAACTCTGTTGGTCATTAAGCTAAATAATATATAACTTGATAGCAAATGAACGTGGTCTTTCTTATTTTCTTTTCCTCTTTCTTTTTTCTTATTTTCTTCTTTTTTTCTTTTTTTTTCTTTCTTTTCTTAATTTTTTATCTTTTTTCTTTTTTTTTTCCTTCTTTTTTTTTTTCGTTTTTTCTTTACTTCTTTTTCTTCCTTATTTGTTTTTCCTTTCTTTTCTCTTTCATTTTTTTTCTTGTTTCTTTTTTTTTTTCCTTCTACATATACTTTGTTTAAAACAAAGTATATGTGAAAATCAACACAGTTAGCTAACCAACTGGTGAATTGGGACTGTTTTTTTTAACTCTGTTGGTCATTAAGCTAAATAAAATATAACTTGATAGCAAATGAACGTGGTCTTTCTTATTTTCTTTTCCTCTTTCTTTTTTCTTATTTTCTTCTTTTTTCCTTTTTTTCTTTTTCCTTTTTTCTTTTTTTTTTCTTTCTTTTCTTAATTTTTTATCTTTTTTCTTTTTTTTCCTTCTTTTTCCTTTTTTTTTTTTCGTTTTTTCTTTACTTCTTTTTCTTCACTTCTTTTTCTTCACTTCTTTTTCTTCCTTATTTGTTTTTTCTTTCTTTTCTCTTTCATTTTTGTTTTCTTGTTTCTTTTTTTTTCCTTCTACATATACTTTGTTTGAAACAAAGTATATGTGAAAATCAACACAGTTAGCTAACCAACTGGCGAATTAGCACTTTTCGGTAACTCCGTTAATAGCAAATGACTGTGGTCTGCGTTTGAACGGGATTCAAGTAAGATCTAAGTAAATAGTTCCTATATTATTTTTAATATACTTTGCTAATTATAGCATAACATTTAAAAAATGAAAAAAAAAAAAAAAAGAGTTTAAATATAAATTTGTTTGGTTTTATTTATTAATTTGCACTAAAATTTGTATCGAATCCTGGTTTATCTAAATTAACATTATCACAACGTGAGTATATAAATTATCAAATAATTAGACGATCATCACTGCTACTACTAGAGGAAAAAGGCAAAATAAATACAGTAAGTATAGAATTTAAAGTAAAATAAAATTAAGAGGTAAATAATAAAGATTTCAGACGTAAAAACAATCATTTTCTCTTCTTTTTTTGATTTGTAATGGCTATTAAAATTTACAGGTAAAATATTTTTCAATCTATATGAATCACTCTGTATAACCACAGAAATACAGGCATTACCGTATTTCATGGAAACAACAAGGAATTTAATAATTAAACCATTGTATAAAATATTTTATCTTTATCAAAAGAACGATTTGTGATGCATATTCTAGAAAGTTTTCTTCTTTTATAAAAGATGTGTACATAAAGAATATATTTAGTGTGTCTATTATTTGGTAGATGGCGATAGTAGTATAAAATTAACATTTTATTATTTATAACGCATAACACTACTGACAATTTGCTGATTAGAAATTTTAACAGTTGGGGCTACCTATTTAAATTGATCTTGAATTGTAAATACTTTATACCTTTAGATATTACATACTTACCATATTTTTGTTGATTAAAATGACTAAAAAATTTTAAATAAAAATTGAAATAAATTTAAGAAAGAAAACCAAAGATTTTATTCTAAAACAAATAATGCAAGTACAATGAATCGTGCGCATTAAAAGTACTAAATATAATATAACACCAACACTAACTTTAAAAACATTTAAAAAAAAAACAAAAACATTCTACTAATCCTAATTTGAGCATAGGTCACATTTATAATTTTTCAAAGCACACATCTGTACCGTAATTCTCGTTATTTGCCAAATTCACCGCAAATACCACAAACTTTGATTAGTTTCCCTGGCTGATTCAAAGGTGGCGGTACGAAGCTCAGATCAACATCATCTTCAATATTATCCAGCTCATCGTCGATGGTTTTGGTTTTTTTATGGCCTTACTTTTTTTAACAGTAGGTTTTCTTTTAATTTTGTCACGCTCCTCATTATTTACCCATTTTCTTAGAAAATAGAGTGCTTCTCTATTAAAGCATTGCTTCCAAATTTTGATGTGCCAATTAATTCCATTATTGTAACGAAGAGCGCTCAAAATACACCTCCTTTGAATAAGATTTATTCGTTTTTTCATGTTGAAATGAGCAATAATATTCATAAATGATTCTGGTTGTTTCGTTGGCTAAAAGAAGGTGTGCTTTTGTTGAAAGTAAATTTAATACTGCGTATACTACCACAGCTTATACAATACAGCTCCACAACTCCGTGTCGGCGTCTTTGATCTGGCGGTCGAGAACCAAGCAAGACGGAATGGTGCTATCTCTGTTAGATTCAAGGGAAAAGTCGGGCCCGGATTAAACAATTTTTTTATTATTGAAAAAATTGAAAACCTTGGCGTAATAAGGTTGGTCACATGCCATATTAAGTAAGTTTTGGGAAATTACCTACATTTTTAATTTGTTTTAAATCTTTCAAATATAATTAAAAAAATTATTTAAATATAAATATTACGAAAAATAGCACATCTTTCGGATTAGAGGTAAAATAATTTATATATGGCTAGTAAAATCCTCGTTAACAAATGTTTTGAGCTAAAACAGTCACTTCACGACAAATTGTGACTTGGATCCTTTTTACACCAAGGGCTTCAATTGTTAAAGAAATGTGTCACGCTCGTGGATGCAAATCAAGTGGTACCCCGTGTCTCTGGCAAGTGTTACTCTTCGCGCAAAGGGTTTATACCTAGATAAACGAATGCTTCGACTGAGGTCTGGGAACTCTATGGTATTTTGGAATTATAAAGAATTTGTGCTTTTATTTTAACAATATTGGTTATATTTAGATGTATTCTTATTAATTGAAATACAGATTTGTAGAAGTAATACTTTAACAGTTTTTATTAATATAATATATTCAATTTTTATCTGACCATACCGAAGTAGGGAATTTTGAAACTTTATAGTAATGTGAAATTTGAATTACAATATTACACGATATTACATAATTAGTACTTATTTTAGGTAGGTACTAAATTTGTACTTGGAGAAAGTAATATCGATTTTTACAAGAAAACTTGAAAAGTAAATTAATTTAGTTCTTATTTCTGATGTAAAACTTAAATCAAGAAAACAAATAAATTGTAGTTTGTTCAACAAGGGTGGATATGATAGCCATATCACACAAAGACGAAGTTTGAGCACGACGTCGTAGGCGGAGTACTCAATCGTCTGATTGTGATATGAACAATCCACTCGATATGGTCAGTATATTTTTTCTACGACCCACTAACGAAAATCTACAAATTTAAAAAATTATTTTAGGTTATTTAGACAAAATAACTAATTTTAAAATAATTTACGAAGTTGACTAATTTATAAAATAAAATAAACATGAAAAATTAATTAGTCCTCGGCCTAGATTCGATCCCGGGCTTTTCGCATGGAAGGCAGATGTTCTGTCCTCATCTTCACCGAAACTTTCAGGACTTTAGTTTTAATACTCGTAATTAAATTAGTATCATGTAGTTTGATTAAAATTAATTTTTTTTTAAATGTGGACATAATAAAAACAAAAATGCTATTATTTATCGAGTCTACACAAAAATTTTAATGTATATTTAATATCAATAACTAAAATATATATTGACAATTAGTTTAACAGAATTATCACTTATTTAAAAATTTTTAAATAATAGGAGTTGGGTGACCAAAATATGAAC